ATGAAGTTAGTGCCCACAAAAGTCAAGACGTTTGGGGTCAAAGTGGCCAATGGGCAGGAACTACGAGGAAGTCAGTTGTTCAAGAAAGTTCCCATCATGGCGCAGGATCAAGAGTTGGAGATTGACCTATACGCCTTACCGCTTAAGGCTACCGATGTAGTGTTGGGAGTGCAGTGGCTCGAAACACTTGGGCCCATCACGACCGAATATAAGCGAGGAAAGATGGAGTTTGGGTGACCAGGAAAGCGTATCAAGTTGCGAACTGAGGATTAAGGCGACTCGCCTATTGAAGAGGATGATGATGATGTTGATGTACTGAATTTCATTATCCTTGAGGACAAGAAAAGTCTTGAAGAGGAGGGGAATGATACGGAAGTGGTTATTAATCCTGGTGAGTCCGAGGACGAGTCTATCGAAGACCACGTCTTATGGCTAGAGAACATGCTCGAGGAGCCATGAAGCTCGATTTATCAACCTTCATGCAAGCGAGATTGACCGAGAGGATGTGGACTGAGGTCAAGAAGGCGCAAGGCTAAGCGAACTAAGAGGCAGCACAAGCCGAGGACTAAGGAGATGAATGGTTGGTGCAAAGCTTGTGCGACAAAGCAGCGTGAATGGAGAATGGAGGCTAAGAGAATGGGCGCGCGAGGGGTTGAGGATGGGTGGCGGGCTCGCGCGGGCGATTGGTATGGGACACTTGGCAAGTGTAGAGAGTGGTCGGGGGTGATGGCGAGCACTGATGGTAGTGCCGAATAGAAGAATGCGCAAACGGACGAGTGGCGGATGGGCGATTGGCGCGCATCGGCCCTTGATGCTCGCGGGTGGTCGCGCGAACAAAGAGATGGCGCGGGAGCGCTGGGCTTGCGCAGCGTGCCCGAAGGTGGCTGGGACGCGCTGGTGACTGACGACGAAGACGCGGAGGGCACAGGGCGCGCGATGGGGAGCACGAGGGAAGAGACCGCGACCGAGCGGGCTTAGGGATGGAGGCGCGCGAAAACACGCGCGCGAGGAGGTCGGCGATAGCGGGACGTGCGCGATAGCGCACGAGTGAGGTGCGGATGTGTGAATCCTAAGCCCCGGAGGACTAGGCGCGCCATGTGAGGCGCACGTGTGCGAAGCCACGCGCGACTAGGAGTAGGCAACCGACGGCGCGCGATGAGAGGCGACTAAGGGTCTTGGGCGGCGACTTGGGCATCAAGCAACTTGGAGTTCAAGACTTGCTAGTTAATTAGGATTCTATTTTCTTATTGCTTTTATTTACTTTTAGTATTATTAGGATTTTACTAGTAGAAGATGTTAGGAGATTTACTTTCCTTAGGATTTATATTCTTGCATGGTTTAGGAGTTCTAGTTGGAGTAGACTTAGATTTATTTTTCACCTATAAATACCCCATGTACTCTTCATTATTAAATGTCTTGGATGTTGATGAGTTAATGGAAAATAGTTCGTAAGAACAAACCGTGTGTCTAAAATTCGTGAGAGTTTTGTCATACAAATCGAGTGAGCGAGGCTAAGACCCTAGTGATCTCAAATTCGTGAGAAGATAAAGCTAATAACCGAGTCGTCCACATCTATCGTCAAGAGAGAGCCGTGGCGAAGCTTTGTTCGAGGCAAACGAGCTGAGCGGAACACACGATCCTTCATCAGCCACCTCCGGCGCGTTTCGCGGCTCTGGCCCATGGGCGGTCTTCTCTCCCGGCCGGCACAAGTGTTGCCTTTACCAGGATGTTGAGGCGGGCTTTCGGGAAGTCTAGGGATGTAAATAAAACTCGTAGGGTCGGGTTACCCGCGAGTTACCCGCATTTTTAGGACGGGTAAACCCGATATAATTGGGTTTCGGGTCGGGTTCGGTTAGAATTATGCTACCCGAACCCCGGGCCGGGTTGGGTGCGGGTATAGTAGGCAAACCCATTACCCTACCCGATTACCCTACCCGATTACCCGCAACCATTGAATCATATATATATACATACATATATATATATACAACTTATAATAAATATAAAAGTAGTCATGTGTTATTTTTACTAATTAGATTATCTATTATAATTTTGATTAATGATTAAATTTTATTTTTTTATAATTTTATAATCATTTTTTGTTAATTGTACGATAAAAAAATTAAATGCTTTATTTTTAAATGTTATAATATTAAATACTATAAAAGAAAAATAATCATATATCATTATATATTCAAAAAATAATATAATTATTTTATAGTTTTTTATTGTCAAACATAGTTAATATATTATTTCTTACATTATAATTAGTTGTGAAATTATTTTATTTTATTTTTCATATGAAACGAAATGGTTCAGGTAAAACTCAAATTTAAGACTCGGGTTACCCGTTTACTCGACGAAAACCCACTAACCCGCCAGGTAAAACTTAACCCGAACCCGAAGATCACTAGTCGGGTAACATGTCAGATTTGGCTAGGGTAAATTATATGTGGGTCGGGTTCGGGTTTGCCCAAACTCGTACCCAACCCGACCCACTTACATCCCTAAGGAAGTCCCACTGAAGGCGAGGGCGGGACTGTGGGACCGTTGATCTCCTTCTGACTTGCGGCGTCTTTGCCGGCGCCCGCTCTAGCCCTGTAGTCTTCTCTTTCCTCTGGTGCTGGGATGGAGAATGCTCTCCGACGGGGGCCCTGCTTCTTTTGGGGCGTCTTTGGAGCTTCCGCTCGGGTTGTGTGGGGGACAGGCTTGGTGTGGGCCTCCGGGGGTGGTTCTAAGGTTGACCTTAGTTCGTCGAAGGTAGATCTATGTTAGCCGTTACCGTTCTCGGTGAGGGGAGTTTCAAGATTTGCATCTACATCGGGGGTCAGCCTTAGGAGGTCGATTTT